AAAAAAAAAGGGGCTTGGAGCCTTTTTTTCACTTAAAAAACGTCTTCAGCATTTTTTCAAAAAAATAAGTTCAAATGGGATTCGAACCCGCAACCTCAACCTTCTAAAGCTGCCCTCCTACCATGGCACCACAAGCCTATTTTGTTCTGTGGGTGGCACACTTTATATTTATATAAATATAATGTATATATACCGATGTATATATAGAGTTTCCGTCGAAGTTCGGGGGTGGTGTGGCACCCCCACTGCCCTTCATAGGTCCGCCCCTGCTCAGAATAGAATAACTAGCATGAGAATAAGTGCTTGTCATGCTTTGTTTTCCACATTTACACAGGCATATATCCTTCAAAGGGAGGAATGTGAATGTCAAAGAGAATAAGCTATAAAGTGTAGTAAAAGGTTTGAGAAAGCAGGTGAGCAACTAGTCCTGTATTAACAACTATAATCATTACTACAATACCTTTCCCTTCTAAGACTGATCTGCAAATTGGTTTACATGTACTTTCACATTTTGAATATATAATATGACAAGACAAGTATCAGAGAACGTTACAGCAAGAAGTGTGACAGATATTGGCTTCTTGTGAAGCAGATATAAGTTCCTGTTTTAACCAAAACATATAACTTCATGCTCAGAGTTAGGTTTAACTTTGATGAATTGTTGAAAATTTTAGTGCAATGGAATTTCTGGTAAATGGAAATTATTTCAAGTTCCATAGACTGGTTGTGTGATCAAAATCTAAACAAAGATCGTAACTTACCTGGTAAATGATCTTGAAGCTTGAGAATGGAAGTTGCAGATCCAACCCCAGTTTTGAATTTGGTCAGCATAGTTGTGTAGTAATTGGTAATCAATTTCAGGCATGAACTGCAAAAGCATGGTCAAAGCACTCAAGGACAAATTACCAGGCATGAATAACACATCATGAACAGTCTTAATATTGTTATTTCCTGCTGCCTTTCTTGTAGACTCACTTGTGGCAAAAAATTTCTTTTTCCTTGGTAAAATGGAGGAGCAATGGCTTCTTCTACTCAACTTCTTCCTTAAGTTTATCTGTTTTACCTCAATTTCCAGCATCAATCCATTTATGCTAGTACCCATCCACCCTAGAGGAGAGCATAGCTCGTGGTATCAAATAATTCTAAAGATTTTATTCACCATGAGAATGCATGTCTCAAATCATCTCCATCATAATAGAATTCAGAAGGACCTGAACCAAAAACATCCCATGGATCATGTCGCACTATACTGGCTATATCTTTTCTAGAAAGAGCATTAAAATTTTGACCAAACCTTTTTACCAAAAAAAAGAAATTGAGATCAAACTTAGTAGGATTTGGAAACAAGCAGTCCTCCTTTTCCAAATTATTATGGCAGAGACCAAGAGACTATGTTACATGTTTCCAAAATTATACGTGAAAACAACTTCGTGTTCAACAGAAGTTTCAATCTCATTTTCAGCTATGTAAGGATTAATATCTTGAAACCTGGTCCCGAGCAAAGGATCTGATGGCAGAGGAGACCATTATGGACAAAAATGGAAGGTCAGAACCATAACTTTTAGTCTGCTAAACAAAATCCATAAGATGATCATCTTCATCCAGAATGTCCTTGGTTAATGAAAAAAATTCCTCTGAATCCCCTGACAAAAAATTTGACCTCTGCGATGTGTATCTCTGAATTTTGCACCAGAAGAAGTTCTCAAAATATATTTTCTTGCTTCTAGGAGACGTTTAATTTAAGACCTGGTTAACATCATTAGCTACTTCAAAATTCAACACTATTATCATCTTCAAGGCGATTCTATTTAGTTCTGTAGTTACTATTTTCAAACTTAATATCTTCATCACTATCAAAAGATGATCCATCATGGATCAGGCTTCTGTGCAAAGAACAACTCCACAAAAATGGTTTCCTTCTCTCATGCATCACATTTGAACTGTCATCAAGTTCAAGAGAACTCCCTAAATGACTCATCATACCATCCTGAAACTGACAGGCAGTCTTATCTTATTTATAATTGGATCTAGCTGAAGCACTGAATTTGTTGTCCAGGAAATCATCTTCTGCAGGTAAAACTTTAGATGAAAGGGGTTGCAAAGATTTCTGGATTTCCAGTTCACACCGATTGTGCAATGAGCAAGAGAGCCGTCAATTGATCGATTGATGGAAAAGATATTGCCCCTTCTGCATTTTGGGCTTGGGACTTCCATGTTGGAGGTCTCAAGTTCGAAACCTCTTGCCAGCGAAAGCAAGGGGTTTGCCTTCTGGGTCAAGCTCGTCACACCAGGCTTGCCTAGTGCGGGTTACCTCTCCTATGTGGTTTGCGAGCTACTGCATAGGAGCGGGGGTTTTACCCTGTGCGCACCCAAAGGGTAGCGGCTGCGGGTTTCCCTTGTCATAAAAAAAAAACATATTGCCCCTTCTGCATAGTAAAGGGATAAATTTGACCCTTCCCTTTTTTCTTTAACAAATTGAGGCTCAGATTTGTGTTATGATAAGGTCAGAGAGAAGCCAACCACGCCATGGCTGCAACACACGATTGCATGTGTGAGTTATGCGTGTTGGGTAATCTCAATGCCTGAATTTTGTTAGCCCAGAAATCATCACTGCCTCTTTAATAATTGTCATAGTCATGTTGTTGTTGTTGTTGTAGTATAGTTGTGTGTATTGCCTTATGAGCATACGTTTAAGGGTGCAAAAATGCAAAGAAACCCAGAAACTCAAGTGTACTCTCTCTGTCTCTTTCTTTTTTAAGGGCTGTTGGTTTATTTAAACAAAATCGAGAATCATAGGCAAAGCATAGAGAGAAGGACAACTACCCTTGATAGAAATCCCATATTCTCTGCCGCCTCATTCTTGCCTTTTTTAGGTTAACCTAACAAAAGGGAATGCACAAGACTTCAAGCGTCTTTTGGCCAATTCACAACTATTAACTACTAGTTTTAAAACTATGAAAGAGACACGCCACCTGTGCATTTTAGATTTCACCACCATCATATACCCGACTGCCTACCGGAACTTCATACGCTACCGACGCAACTTAGAGTACTCCACTAGATTGTTGTTTTTACTGTCTCGGTGGCGATGTCCGATCAAAACCCTAAATCCTAAATCAATTTTCCCTCCAGTCTATCTGCTCTTCCCATTATCTTGGTATTCTTCCATCCATTAGAAATGAAACAAGGAAAATTCAAGAACTTGTTGGCTTACATGCATTCTTTTTAAGCGAAAAAATCAAGAACTTGTTGGCTTTTTTTTTTTTTTTTTTTGATAACCAAGAAATCCGTCTGTGACCCGCCCTTTGGACCAATCACAGCCTTCTAAACTCGGTGGATAATGGGCCCGCCCCTCTACCCTTCTCCACTTAAAGACCGGGCTTCGCTTTGCATGGTGTGGGGATTGAACTTGTTGGCTTTTTGAAGTTACATTCCCTAAATGACTCATCATCCCATCCTAAACCTGACAGGCAGTCTGATTTGTAACTGGATCTAGTTGAAGTACTGAATTTGTTGTCCATGAAATCATCTTCAGTAGGTAAAACATTAGATGAAAGGGGTTGTGAAGAGTTTCAGTATTTCCAGTTCACACAAACTGCAATGAGCAAGAAAGCCATCAAATACAATATTCCTCATAAAGAGGCTTATCAGTCTTAGCAAACACATTTATAATATGAAATACAATATTCCTATCAGTAAAACAAATATGGATGACATGCCCTTGTTAACATTGGCCTGTTTGGTTTTGCAACCAAACGAAGTCAGACACGTGGTTTTGCATTGTTCTCCCATAACAAAGGGAGATAATTTTGTTCTCCAAGAACAAATGTGATGTAAGGACCTTGCCGGGTCAGAGGGTCCTTTTTAATACTTTGAATCTCTATAGGATTAGTAATAAATAATGATAATTGGCCAGTTTAACTTACTAATTTCACCCATATTAAAGTTCCAAAAATTGATGAGGCATTTTGAATATTTTATTTTATTTTTACAGAAAACAACCCAAACCAATTCTCACAAAACAAACACTAACACAAACTCAATTCTACAAAATAAATCACTACAAAAAATCTCACCTTAAATTCCACAGAGGTCTTTGAAGGCTCCAAAGTAAAATCATATAAAGATCTTGGACAATTTAGGTTCAACAGAAACAGTGGATATATATTTGAGATCTACTTCGCTTCTCAATGTCAGAAGCACTGTCAAAACTCATAGCTGTGTAATTAAGCAATTTATGTATTGGTCCTTTGGAAACAAATCTTGAATTGATATTTGCATTACGGAGGTCAACGAAAACAAAAACACCGTAAAAACAGGCTTCTGATATAGAAAATGCTAACCAAATATTGGTCTTCCGTTTTTCTTTGGTCAGGAAAATATATAGAAATAAGTGGATACAGAAATATTGAAGGACCTACAAATTGAACAGTGGTTGTTAGGGAAACAGAGTGTAGAAAAGATAACTTATCACATCTCTTATTCATTTGGGCCTGTATACCTTCACTGTGCAAACATCAGGACCGAAAATGTAGCCTGAGTGCTTTAATGAACCATCATAGTTGTAGGCAAAAGAAATTATGTACAGCAGCATCACTACATAGAAAAGATGATGTCAGTCCAACATTTTGCAAAAAGATTACCATATTTTTCTCCCATCAGAACCAGTCCATCTCGTGAAACACCAGATCCTTCAAGAGAAACTACAACTTCAGATGATGAGATAAATAATAAATTGAGCATATCAAAATTGATTAGATCAATGTCAAAGAAACTTAAACTTACCATTGTCATCCACCTTAACATAGCAGGTCCCAATGTCTATAGCAACAGATACCTGGTGGAAACTGGGTTAGGTTCAAACTAGGAGTACACTACTTATAAGAATAACAAACATAAAAAGAACAGCCCTATAGGGCAGTAAATCTCATGGCAAAAAGAAATAAGCTATTATATATTCATTTGGGAATTTTTTTTTATAATACTAGACTGGAACATCATACTAAGAGGAGAAAATGTATATCAATTTTCATATAAAACATATGCCATACGTTTAGAATGATGAGCATACGTTTAAGGGTGCAAAAATGGAAAGAAATCCAGAAACTCAAGTGTACTCTCTCTCTCTTTCTTTTTAAAGGGGTGTTGGTTTGTTTTAAAAAATGGAGAATCATAGGCAAAGCATAGAGAAAAGGGCAACCACCCTTGATAGAAATCCCATATTCTCTGCTGCCTCATTCTTGCCGTTTTTAGGCTAACCTAACAAAAGGGAATCTACAAGACTTCAAGTGTCTTTCGGCCAATTCACAAGTATTAACTACTAGTTTGAAGACTATAGAAGAGACACACCACCTACGCATTTTACAGTTTCTCGATTTTAGTTCGCAGAGACTGCGATGAGCAAGAGAGCCATCAATTGATCGACTTGAACTTTTGATCTGACAGAGGAATCTGGATTCGGGATCATGCTTTTCAGAGCACTTCCCCACAGAATATTCTGAGAAGATCGAATCTCTCTCCTGACAGTGCACTCTCCAATCAGTTTCTTTGGCTGCGGGGAAGGAAGTAAAAGTGTTGATTTGCAACTCTGGTATATCTGAAAAGAGGAGCAGGGAATGGGATAGCAATAGATGACGAGGACACTTCAATAACTAAATCCTTACCTAGGTTTTCCAAAAGTAGCTTAAGAAAAAAGAAAGAGATAAAACTACACGATGGCATAACACCACTAACCAACCTTCCACAATTAGTTCCCCCCCAACCAACCCCCACCCCCTACTTTTAGGGAGGTACGTGGGGAGCTACAGCCTACAGGGAAGGGAATGTGGAGTGGACAAAGCCACAAGTACAAATAACATCAAATACATTGACTCCTTAGTGATGTTGCATAAAAATGTCAAAGTGCAATTGCACACTAACAAATGAAAAGATATTGCAGTCGTTAATAATATGGAATTCCTCTCTTAAACATACAATCAAATGCAGTTCCAACACAGATATTTCCTAAAATGCAATTTGGAAAACACAATGAAGTCTGCATCAACTCCTCAACAATGAGAGAACATTTTGAAGGTAACAATGCATCTCCAAACATAATTGCACCTACGAAAATAAATAAAATAAATAGAATGGCAACATCAGGAATCAATCCATCAATTATGCTTCACCCCCAAAATTAGTTGGCCTGCTATATCGATCCTCATTCCTCAGTATCTGTTCCACTCTATCCATATCAAAACAATCATTTTCTTGTGAAATATGTGCTTAAATCTTGTTGGCTAGTAGAGTATTTCCTAAAACGTGAATAATGTCATCAATACGGGTGCTGGAATTTGGCTAAAAAATTCAAAAATATAAAATAGAACTATAGAGATATTTTAAATTTTGAAAGATCTTCTAACTCGTTTTCCCCAAGACCCCAACTTCTTCTTTCAAGCTCTCTCGTTGTTCCCCTAAAAAAACAAAAAGAAAGGCATTCAAGGCCTTAATTCCACCAACACTCCGTACAGATCATTGCTACTGTCTACCAGAAGTCAAACACAGCCGCTTGAACTCTTAGTTTCTCTCCATTAGGCATAAAACATGAAGCAACAAATATTGACGTAGAGAAAAAAGCTAAAAAGGAGACAAAACGAATATAATATTGAATGTAAGTCATTTCCCATGTCTTAAATCTATTTTGTCTTTTCCTTTTTTGAAATCTCAATTTTCCCACAAATTTGTCCATGGACTCAGGTCAAAGTATCCAATGTGGGTTGAGCAAATCCCACACGTATCCCGCACGCGTCTTGTGTCGACACGGGTGCAGCAGCAACAACGAAGAGTCCATGCAACTTACGCTCTTATTCAGATCAGGAACAAATGGAAGGAACGGTTTACCTTCTTTTTACTCCCCATCACATGTACTTGTGCACTCCCCTTGAGCTTGTAATTTGCTATTCCAGATGTTAACAAGTTTCATTTTCACACTTGGCCTGGGGAGAGAAACATCAGATCATCTGAGTTACTAACATATTTTTATTCAGATAATATAAGAAAAATACCTTACCCTCCCAAGAAATTTGATAACATTACATTTCATCAAAGAATACACAATCAGCACAACTTGGGGTGGAAGATTGATCACATTGGTGGGATGACAGCTGTGGAAGCTCCAGAAAGCTTCGGCAGTCTCCTTACTGCTCTAATTTCTGCATGATCAAAAAGAACATTAATTAGTTGCACACATTTTCTGTCATTGTTGATTATTAACACAAACAAGCACTCAAGGAAAAATTACCTGGTATGAGTGGCACATCATGAACAGTCTTGTATTGTTATTTCATCCAGCCTTTCTGAAGACTCACTCGTGGCAAGGAACTTCTTCTTGCCTTGGTAAAAGGGAGGAGCTGAATGACATCTTCTACTTTTCTTCTTCCATAAACTCATCTGTTTTACCTCAATTTCCAGCACCAATCCATTTATGCGAGTCCCCATGCACCCAAGAGGAGAGCATAGCTTTTGGTATCAAATAATTCTTCAGATTTTCATGTCTACAGTCATCAAATCTAAGGTACAAACACTTCCCATCCTGTAAACAATGGCAAAAACAAAGACCAAGTTAGTAGTTTTTTACCTATCCTAATGGATACTAACAGTCATATCTCAAAAGAACTTTAACCTTCAAAACCTTGCGATATCCATTTGGCATCCCATGAGTTTTAGTAACAATTCCCAACAAAGAAATGTCAGAAATAGAGCTCAGAGCCTCTCATTTAAAGCCAAAACTTTGTGGGAAAGCATGCAATACTCTACTAACTAACAAGATTTAATTTAATTTTGGGAAAGCATGCAATAACAAGGAAATAGTTCAAAGTCAGAAGAAACACCATGAAATGGAAATTTAATTCAAAAACCTCATAGACCAACCTGAGGTGCCGTGCCAAGCAACAATTTTTCAGCTCAAGAAAAAATAAGTTTTATTGAACTTCAATAGAAGACAAAACCTCCACATCCTCAAGGTTGATAAAACGTAGCAAAGAGAGTAATCAGAATAAGAAAAGAGGAAGCTGACGTGTAATTTCACAAAAAGGGTGGTTTGGTGGAAGGGGAAAGGAAACAGAACTTTGCCAAGCCATAACACGAATCAGCTCAAAAGCTTTGAAATCTGTCATGGCTGCAAGCATCGGTTAAGCCTTATGAGAAAGAGAAGACACACCATGAAATGGAACTTTCTCCTAAATCTCATACACCCACCTGAGGTGCCATGCCAAACAACACAGTTTTCAACTCGAGAAAAAACATGTAAAATTGCTTTTTTGAGTTATACCAGCAAGAGTAATAAGAACAAGAGAAGTAGAAGGTCGTGTAGTTTCACCAAAAGGGTGATTTAGAGACAAAGTAAATTGAACTTTGTGGTGCCAAAACAAGATAAGCTCAAAAGCTGTGAAACCCAGCATGGCTGCAAGCATCAGTTTGCCTATGAGACAGAGAAGAAGGGCCATAAAATGGAACTTTTCCCAAAATCTCATAGACCCACCAGAAGAGCCACGCCAAGCAATAGTTCAATAGCTCTACAAGCAACATGTTTGATTGAACATCAACAGATGAAAACATCCAAATCTTCATTATGTATAAAATGGAGTAGAGTGAGTAATAAGAATAAGAAAAGAGGGAGTGCATGTGTAATATCACGAGAAAGGTGGTTCGGTGAGGAGTGGGAAAGAAACTGCACTTTGCCAAGTAAAAACATGAAGCAGATCAAAAGCATGGAAATCCGCCGTGGCTGTAAACAACAGTTAGCCTTATGAGACAAAGAAGAAACTTCATGACATGGAAATATAATTCAAAAATCTTATAGACCCACCTAAGGTGTTGTAATGTGGCTTTTTTGTTTGATGAAAGAAAGTTATTTTATCTTTCTTTTGTGAAGGATTTGGAAGCCACTAATGTGGAAATTTGGTAGCCATATTTGTCAAGATTTGGCAACTATATTTGTCAAAGATTTGGAAGCCACCATAGTTGATATATTCACATTGAGATGTTGAATATTTTGCATCTTCCAAAGACATCATCCATGACATCAACAAGCCTATTTTTTTCTCTATAAATAGGGAGCTTAGACATTAGTTGAAACACACCTTGAAGCATATGAAAATATTTCATTGTTTTCTTTCTTTGTCTTTCCATTAAGAGTAATTTTGTAGGAGAGTTTGTGTTGGGAAACACTTGTGTGAACCCTTTGTTGGAGTGATCTTGTGAGGTTATTCTCTTTGGGTATTTGGGATTAATTAGAGTATTTACTCTAATTCTATACTCTCTTTTGTACTCTTGTTGATATAGTGAAATTGCTCCTCTCCGCTTGTAGACGTAGGTCTATTGACCGAACCACGTTAAATTTGTGTCTTCTTTAATTGCTTTACTTTCGTTATTATCAACTTACTATTGTCTTTGTTATTGTCATTACAACATTGTTTGGCTAAATTCCGCACTACCCGAGTTCTCGATCCTAACAAATTGGTATCAAAGCCGAATCTAATCGA